GGCGGCGGAGGCCGGGCCTCCTCAGGGGAGTGTCCTGCTCGGCCGGGAGGGTGTCGGCGGCAGGGGGATCCCCGGGAGGAGGGGCGAGGGTGACCCGAGCCGGGTCACCTCCGGACGCGCTTTGGAGGAAAGGGCTCAGCAGTCCCGAGAGCTGCTGCCGAGCTCGGGAAGAGAGGCTGGCTCTGGGGACCGGGGCGGGACGGGAAGAAGTCGGTCCGTAGACCTGGAGAATCCCAAGTGCAGAGTGAGCCCGGGTGTGTCGCCTAGCTCCGCTGCCGGGCAGGCTGGGGACGCGGTTTCAAGTCCTCCATTCTACGCGGGGTAACTCAGTGCACAGTCACAAAGACTGCTCCTAGGTAGGACGTTTGAGTCCTTGAAACATCCTCCCGCGCACTCAAAAATACAGTTTACCGATGGCTATGGAAGGCGATTGTTCAAGCCTAATGGAGATACTTGTCCAGACCCACCACCACCCCCAGGGGTGGGAGCAAAAGACGGGACTTGGCCACTATCATCGCGGTTTGAAACCTGGAAATTCAGCCATGAAACTCTCTCTCCCTCTCGCCCTCTCTCCCCCTCCCTCTTCCCCCTCCCCCTCTCCCTCTCCCTCTAACTTGCTTCAGTCTCCCAACTTCTCAGCAGACTGTCCAGGGTGCCTTCACCCACCAATGCACAGATCCAGATCTGAGGTCAATTTGGGGTTCCTTTCCTCCTCTGCCAGTTGCCCCTCTTATGGGCTCCTTACTCTTGATCCTTTCGCAGTTGCCCTGCCCTTTCCAAGCCCACTCTGGGATTTGTTGGTTCCCGTGACCCCCTTCCCGGTTTCCAGTTCCGGCTTTCCGCACTTAACCCGACTGCACAACCTTACAGGTTAATGGCTCTAGTACACCACTCAGCAGGCCGCTTCCTGTGTGAGAAGGTATCTGAGGCATGCTGCCAGAAAAATATTCTGAATTCCTTGAAAACTCCACTGTTGAAAACATTATCCAACAGCTGGCCCACTCCACTTCACCGTAGATAACACAAGTCCATGACTACTAATTCGTAGGAAAAGGGTCCGTGTAAAATGAAGGAAGTTGTATTACTTTAATATGCAAGGGTTGCCACCAAGTAACAACAGCTGCAAAACAGTGCAGAATGGCGCTCTGTCCTGATGTTTCCAGGAAGGACCATACCTGCATCCATGTGGAAGTTGCTGATACTCCTCCCAAGGTATATCCAGCAGCTAAATCGCACTTTACTTTTCAGTAAAAGGACACTTAGAACTACATTTCTACTATAAAAGAGTGTAGATGTTTTCTCAGAATTTTGCAAAATCACATGCTAGAATTAACAGGGCTATGGGTTAGGAATAAATGATTCAAAAATCTATGTACCATTGCACCCAGAGTACGAACAAAACAGCAACCATTTGGGGGAAAAAATCATACTAGCAGAGTTTATGAGTCATGTTAAATTCCTAATATTACATACAGTAAAAGCAAGTATAAGACTTTAGCTTTATAAAAAGATGAAGGTAACTGTGGAAAAAAATTGTAAGGAGAGTTTTCTGAGGCCACTGAGTTTCTGAAAGCCCTTTGCCCCCTCATCCTGTAAACCCTCTCCAGTTCCAGATCACAGCCAAAATGGTCTAAAAGAGGACACAAGGCAAATGAGCCCCAAACACTGCACCATGTATTCACAATGACATGCATATGCTTTTTTTTTCAGCTGTTGGTACAAAATGTTCTGGAAACACATAGGAAGTAACACCCCTACCTCCATTTTATTAGTATCTTTTGCTATCCATGCAGCCATAGATTCATTCGTGTTTTGCTTTACAGAAACATCCTTGTAAGAGTAGATGGTAGTTCTTTGCTTACAGAGTAGATTGCATGCCATTCCACACATCTACTGAACAGTTATCTATAGCATATTCCAGCAACCATTACAGGTACCGGGCATGCATCAGTGAACAAAAATGCAAAAGTAGCTTCCCTCAAGGACTGAGAGTACTTGAACATGACATCACTGTGTGGTTTATAGTATTTGGTGGTATGTGTTTCATGTGTATGTAACTTAAATTGGTGCCTCATCCACATTTTAATCTCTTTGAAAGTCACAGTCTATAGCCTTTGCATCTTCCACCAGGCTGGTACAGTAAGCGCTAGCTTACTATCAGAATATATAGATTTGGGTGTGTGCACCCACTTTGTTCTTGGTGTTATTAAATTCACAGAGCAACCATCTGGGAAATAAAACACCAAATTTTTTTCCTGATCATGTTTGCAGCTATTTGGGCTATCATCAAAGCAAGTATCCCTAGATAAGTGGTGTGGACCTAAAGGATATATAAATTACACTCGCCAGGAAATTAAGGGAGGGGAAAGAGAGACAAGACAAGGGAAATGTATGCTGAAAGTTACAGTTCAAGAACAAAGTACTGGCTAGGCAGGGTGGTGCACTTCTTTAATCCCAGCACTCAGGAGGCAGAAGCGGGTGGAGCTCTGTGAATTCAAGGCTGGCGAGGTCTATATAGTAAGTTCCAAGACTCAGTCAGGGCTATATAATGAGACCCTCTCTCAAAAAACAAACTCCTCCCAAAACAACAAAAGAGCAAAGTGCCTGTGGCATTACCATGCCATGGTTACAGTTACTATCTGAATAAACAGCCTGACTCAAGTTTAGTTTTTAAGAGTGGGCTTGAACTCAAAGAACATCCATTTCCCTAGATGTTTCTTGTAACTATGTCCTACAGTCAGGCCTCAGATATACTTTTATTTAAAACCACTTTTCCAGCTTCAGTTTTAGAGAACTGTAACTGAGATCCACCCTTATCAGACAATCTTGCCCTTTCATTCCCTAGGTCTAGAACATCTCTTGCACACAATGTCAATCTCTTCCCAATCTTCACTGTTTTCAGTGACGATGCATACACTATCTTTCAGCATCTGATATGTTAATTCTCAAGCATACCCATATTCATTTATCATCTTCGGTAAGAGTAGCAATTCAAGGTTCCCAGGAATCAAGGTCATGTGCTCAGGTCACAAGAGAGCACCCGGTTCAGTGAGTTTGCCAAGATTAATTAAAAGTCATTAGTCCAGAGTCTGTCCATTTTATAAAACTCATTCCCACAAGTACCTGCTAAAGCCTGTAGAAAGACAGCACTGGAGAAAGAATGGTGGAAGGAATCCTGGAATATTGTCACTGCTGTTTCTACCATGTGGTTTGGCCAAAATTTCAAAAAATGCCATGAGGCATAAGTGAGAAAGAAATTAAAGGGTATCTACAAAGTTTAGTCAAATGACAAGGAGGCCTTGGAAGAAAATGATCAAGAGCCACTTGGATAGGACATAAGGTAAAATTACAGTGGAGTCTGGCTGAAGTGCAGGACCGTGAACTGACTTGCCTGTGCAGATGGCTCTGCTTTTTGAACATCTGGACACTATACCCCAACAGCAAGGCTAAAGAGTTTTTCATGTGTGCAGTCTTTGTGTCTTATTCTTTCTGAGTGTGATTCAGCATGATATTTAAAGGAAATACGCACTTACAACAGAAAGGCAGTCGATATATTTTCCTGATCATCAACATATTGAATACTGATTAACTTCAATTCGCTGTTTATCACAAAAATTGACTTCTTAAATCGACCCCAAACACACCGTGAGAGATTTATAGTTCCTGAAACTATATAATTGTAAAGACACAAACTTGGCAATCAATGCCTTTTGAAAATCTTAAGAGGGAAAAAGTCTAGAGGATCAAATTTTTGAATCCCCTCAGACATCTGGAACTGCAGTTCTGCCCAGGGTCTGTAAAAGAGCACTGCCTCAAAGGTGACCATTTTATTCATTTGTTCCATGGATGTAATTTTACCAGTAAGCTATCTGAAAGTTTACACATCTATCATTTTCTTCTACAAATAAAGATGGAGAAAAGGTAAGTTTGAGCACCAAGACTTGAAGGGCTCTTCTTTTGAATATAATCAGCACTTGGCTTCCTGAGATAGAAGTCACCTTTGTAACCACAGACACAGCCCCACCAAAGTTACCAAGAGAACTGGGAATATATCTTAATTTCCACTTTGATGCATCAGTTTTAAAGTCAAGGATCAAAACTGGAAATCTGTACATAGAAAACAAACTTTTATTTTTCCTGCAATTCCATTGCCAAGGTGTGTGGCTGTCAAAGAGGGCTGACAAAAGTCTCCAACTGAGAACAAACATCTCTAGTGCAGACAGATGCAGAGGGTTTCTGGAACCACATCACAGGCAGGGAAGTAACAGGTCAGACATCAAGGACTGTGGACTCCTCAGACATTCTCAATGTAGACTGATGTCTCTGTAGCAGACTCCTTTATCCCTCACTGATATGTTAAGAACACTGTCCACATTCCAGCTCAGCCAAAGAAAAACCTGCCCCTCAGAATACCACAGCTAAGTCATGAAAGAGATAAACACATAAAACTTTGGGCATTTACACTTTTTCTGTAAGAAATGAGGGCTGGTGGCTGCTCCCACCTTCTGTACATGAAGGTGTTTTTGTTTGCCAGCAACTCTTCCTAACAAAAGTCTATGTTTCTGACTGATTCCAAAATGAGATTCTACTTGACTCTGACAAAACTCAAACCCAGAAGGTGATATCACCGCTGCATGACCAGATCCATCTGGCCCTCATCCAGCCAAGCCTACCCCGGAAGTGAGGTGGAAATTTCCACACTGCGTGAGTTTTTTTTTTTTTTTTTTTTTTTTTTACTGGAGTATTGCTTTATAAGTTACATTCTTAACTGCTCAATAACATGTAAGTGGCAACATGAATTAACTAAACCTTTATTCACCCCTAATCCTCACCTGCAGACATTTTCCTAGATTACAAACCTTTTTCCAAAGAGGTACAAAAATACAAG